GTTGCGATCCGTTGCTGGTCACGAAAAAAGACAAAAAGGAAAAAAAAAAAAAAAGAAAAAAAACCCTGTTCAGGAGAATGTCTTCTTTAGGAACTGTCTATGCAGCTATATCTGGTTTTATCACTCTCTTCTAATTAGAACTTGCTGCTCCCTTGGCTTTTGAAATACTGAGCTCCTCTGTTATTTTATAACTCTATCTTGCCCATCCCTCTTTTGTCCGACTCTTCAACACAGGAGTTGCTCAGGGTTCTCTCTTGGACCCTGTCCTTGCACCTTCCCTGGTTGGTCTTAAACACTCTCAGTTCAAGTCTCCCCAAAGTCCTGATACCTCATCAATTGTGTTATGTCCGGCTGCTTGTGGGATTTCCCAACTGCATGTGACATAGACATCTCAAATTCAACATATCCTGAACTCACCTGATTTTATTTTGTTTTACTCCTTTATCTTGTTTTAGTTGGTGGTAATATCACTCAGCTTGTCAGCCTGGGAGTCTTTACCTCCTTTGTCTTCCTTTCCATCTTCATCTAATCAATTACCAAGCCTGGCCACTTTTGTTTTTCTGGAATTAGTCCCTTCCTCTCTATCTCCACAACCACTGATCTCAATATCTTTTGTCTGGACTCATTGCAATGACCTCCTAGCTGTTTTCATTTTCCCTCATCTTCCATTTTTGGCTCCCCACACCTGTGCTCTTCAGCCTCCAGAGAAGCCTGTTTAAGTGCCTATTTGACCATGTTGCCTCTCAACCTAAAATCCCACCAACATTTTCTCATAAGCCTGAGAGAATAAAGCTCAAACTCTAACATGTGAAGAACTTTGCACAATCTGGCCTTTGCTGTTCTTTCCAGCTGCATTCCTTTCCTTTTAGTGTACGTTCCAGTGCCACTAAAATGTTTGTAGTTCCTTGAACAAATCAGGCTATATTTTGTGTTCTGTAACTTCGTTCATGAGAGTTCCTTTGGTTATAAGGGCAACATTCACCAGCCAACCTAGTTAATGCTCAGCAGTCATTTAAGGAAGCTCATCCAGGAAGCTGTCCTCTTTGAGCTGCTCACTCCTTTCTGTTCCTTCCCTTATTTCATCATGATCATCTCTTTACGTTTCTGTATTCCTCACTAGACAGGGAGATCCTTGATGCCGGTGGTTGTATCTTTTTTTATCTTTGTGTTTCCAGCATCCGGAACAATTTATGATGCATAATAGATGCTCAATAAAATTTCTATTGAATAAATAAAACTTGCACTCATTATATTAATAGAATGTTGAGATAATTGTCAAGATGAATGAATTAGTCTCTTTAGTCCTTCAAATCAATCTGTGCTGTTTGTGTCTAATTACAACAATCACAATGATAATTATCATTTTTTGAATTTTCAATGTTGATGATTCTATATTTAATTACCTATTATTTGGATAGAAATTCCCTGGCCTATAAACCTGCTATTAGCTTTGGTTAAATATTTATTTTATTTAAATGTCATATTTCCCTGGTAATATAAGCAGTCCACCCAGTGAGGCAACAAGTGGTCATGATTGGTGTATTCATTTCCCTCTTTGTCTCTGTCTCTTTTTGGT